GGGTATGGCTGAAGAGTGGTTGGCTGGAATAAACCAACTCTTGTTACTCTTCAGCCATAGTAAGGGTATGGCTGAAATTGGATTGACTGGATTAAACACTTTGTACTCCTCATCCGAAGTGATTATATCGGCTAAGGAGTGGTTGGATAGTAAGCATAGTTTAACCAGCCAAAACCGAAGTAGAAGTTGGAGTATTAGAAGGCACTACCAAGTACAGGCATACATATCAGAACCGGAATAAGAGTCCAACAAAATTTTCATTCATTGAAAAGCAAGTACAAGAGGAACATAGCCCGGTTACAAAGAAAAGGTCACAAAAAAGGAGAAAAAATCAGGAAAAAAGCTCTTCAATTTCGGCGTCAAAAGCCGCATCACCATCAACTTGGAGACCGGTTTCAAGAGGAAGTTCGCTCTCGGTGGCTAGAATGGTTTCGGCTGGAGCCACGGTATCACTTGGCTGATCAATAGGTGGGTCCTCTACCAAGGGCTCCAACTGAAGCGATGGGTCTGCAGTAACAACCGGAATGTCTTCAGGGGCAGAGGAGCCATCAGAATCAGAGTCTTCCAGAAACTCTTGTTGCAAGGCATCCGCATACTCCGCAAGGGACTTCGGTATAAAGTAAGCTGGAGGGTCAAAGACCTTGGTCTGTTGATCATGACCGAGCTTCTCAACAGCCGCCCTCCAGCCGCACTTGAAGAACAGCTCCTTGGCAGCGTCGCACTGTTTGACATAGGCATATTCCGCCTTCTTGTAACCCTGCTTGTACCCCTCCTTTTCGGCTTCCTCTGCGCTCTTTTTTAGTTGAGTTATTTTGGTGTCTTTTCTCTTCTCAAGCTTCACCAACTCCCGCAGATACTTGTCTTTCATAGCGATGGCGGCTTTCAGCTTCTCCGCTTCAGCCGAATTAACCAGATCGGTAAGTCGGCCGTTCTCTGCTTGCATCTCGGCCATTTTCTTTTCAGCTTCTTCTAGCTCGGCCACCTTTGCCTCGGCTTCCGCCATTGCCTGCCTTGTGGTTTTTCTAAGCTCTTGGACTTTCTTGTAAGTAATGTTGTTCTTCTGTAAGGCCTGACAAAATGAAGAGTCTCTTGAGCCGAAGTGAAAGTTGGAAAACTTAGACAGAAAAAACGGACAGAGCTACTTACCAAAATCATGGACTTCGATGTAGACCGGATGGACTTCATCTCGGTGTTCAATTGCTTGAGGTGGTGCTCCATGTCCTTGGGGAGGCATACACTTTTGGCCAGATTAAAAGCCAATAGATGATCTTTTTCAGCAACAACCGAATCAGAAGTTTTGATGTCTCGGTCGTTGAAGGTTAGCTGCGGAGCCCATTTCGAAGATTCTGCTCGGTCAGTTCGCTCCGGTTGGAGGGTAGGTTGAGGACTTTGGGGGATGGATTCAACCTCATCGACAAGTTGCTGTTCGGTCGATGTAGATCGGGCGCGTTTGGAAGGGCGAGATGAAGAAGGCTGCTGAGAAGGGAGGGCCACAACGGCAGGCTGCGTTTCAATAGTTGGTGGTACTTCGGCCCTGGTTGTTGCAGTCAGAAGGGCCCTAACTCTGCTTTTCTTTGCCATCTCTTCTTCAGCAGTTAATGGGACAAGTCGTATTTCGGGCAAGTTTGGGTCCGGT